AGCTTAGACGCGTGTTGCTCTTCGATTTCGCACGCGGCTCGCGCCAAATCACGTGACGCCGTCAAACCGCGCAGCCAGGCAGACCCGCGCATGGCGACATGATGTATGCAGGCCCGGCCCGGTCCGCCCAAACTGCAAGAAGCCGGTCGTGGCCAAGCCACGAGGCTGATTCAATAATTGAGATGTGGAGTCGTAAAACAGTCAAGAGTCAAGTTCGGAGGGTCATCGGAAAGGTTGGGATTCGAGATTCACCCCCGTCTCTCGCTCTTGATCGTGCTCTTGACTGTGATTCGCGACTGGCTCGTCAGCTTCCATCATCAGCGCACGGCTTCCCGTTCATCTCGCCTAAGAGCCAACGTCAATCTGATCTGAAAGTTTGCTCGCACCTCGCCATCTATCGCGACAGTCTCTCAGCGTTCTGTTTGCTTTGACCACGACCTCGTCCAGGCACACACGGGACCATGTCGAGAGGGCCACCATCACGCTCGCGCTCCGTGCGAGCATGGTCAGATCCGCGGGCGTTGGCAAGCGCAGCAGGTGTGGGAGGCACAGTGATAGGTCTAGCAACTTTAGCTTGGGTAGCTTGGAGCTGGTCAAATAGTCGCGCCTCTCCTGGCGGTCAGGCAGGTGGAGATGGTCGCACTATTGGAGGAGCATCTGGCAGTCGGACACGAGATGAACATGGCGCAGAAGGCACTGTGAGTGCTGCTCTTTCAAACACGTGAACTGGCTTGATTCCCCTATTCACCGTCTTTCTGAACTCTGCCAACGGGGTGCAGCGAAGCTCCAGGCCTACACTGTCCCTCGCGATGCCTCAGACGGACGAGCCAATCGCTGAGTACCTCTTACGCATCAGAGAGCTGCTACTACCGGTCACTGCACAGGTCTTCTCGGTGCACCTTTTGCTGCCAGCTGATCAGGAAAGCAAGTCGGATGCCGAGATACTTTCGCGCATACAGGCGCTCAGCTCTAAGCTCGAAGATATCGACGGCTACGATGAGCGGCGGACGATGCTTCACAAGACAGAGTCGGGCAAGTTGACACTAGCCAGAGCTATCAAGTGCGATGCCCACGTCGAGGTGCTCATGGATTCAAGCCGCCACGAGGAATGCACCAAAACCGATATGGACGCGTACCACGATGCGATATCCAGATTACGCAAATCGACCAGCTTGCTCGTCTTTCTCGTCCTCCCTGATCCAGGTCATGCCGCATCACAAGACAATGGAAGAATCGACTCTATCTTGAGGCCGTACTTGTCACGAATCAGGATGGCGAAGGGGGACGCGGAAGTGAGGGTATTGGATTTGAGGCAGACGTCGCCCGCTGAAAGGGCTTGGAGAGAAGGATCAGAGCGGCTCAGTGCTTTGTCGAAGGGATGGAAGTGAGCAATGCACATTTGAGCTTGCTCGGAAGTGCCGGAACACTTCGAAACCTTTGCCAATGTTGTGTGCCGTTCCTCTTAAGCCAGTGAGTGCGTCCGAGCAACACTTGCTTTCACGAAAGTACGCATCGCTAGTACAGCTTCACCATCGTGGACTTGATAGAGTCAGCGCACCATGGTCCACTCAAGAGTCTTGAAAGTGAGCTCGGAGCACAGAGCTGATCCATGTGATCCACTTTGATCGCGTCGAATCTATTTCCAGCTGCATTCACCAAATCGTGATCCGTCTCTGGCGCAGGGGCTATTGAGATCCACAGACCCGGTCTCTACCTCGAAACCGGCGGGAATATGAAGCGAAAGGGCAACCGTGCAGCCTCACCCGCCGATTACTGTACTGCATCGCGTTTGCACGCTAAAA